AGAAAAACATTTCTCTTGGTTTTTACTTAGTGGCTCTTTCTTATGATTTGAAGATGTTTTGTATACTAAAATGTGAAGGTTTTTAATTTCTATTGTCCGATCTCTGTTCCCGACTCGCCTATGCGAGCTCACCGGGCCAAGTCGTGACAAGTTTTTCATTAGCCAATAATCTCCAACCCCGTGGTGGATCGATTGTAGTTGAAGCTTGTCGATACGGGTTATTTGGGGTGATGATGGTGAACGAGGAAGGTGGAGAAGAGTAGAGGCATCTTTCTAGTGATGATGGTGGCATTGTAGAATATTAAGGAGAGGGAGGATTTCCTTCCCTTAGAATTAGGGAGTACGTATGTAATTTTGGGCATAAAGTGGTTGTAGACCTTGGGGTTGACCAAGGTGAACTGGAAGACATTGACTATGAAATTCATATTGGGAGGAAGGAAGGTGAGGATCAGGGGGACCCTAGTTTGTCCAAAATCAAGAGTTTCTCTTATGATCTTGGTGAAGGCAATCCAGAGAGCATGTATGAGATTCTTGGTGGAGCTCTTGTCACATCTTATTTTGACCCCCCCTATAGTCAACATAAGTGTAACAGAGAAGGAGAATCTGAACAGAACTCCTTACTAACACCTATTCTTAAATACCTCTATCAGAATCAGGGAGTAAGAAGTGATCTATTCAGAATATCATAATATGTTATAATATATCAAGCTTTATACTTCATATTAGGAAGCATATGTAATACACCTTAAATAAAGTATATATCTCAATTGAAATACAAAGTTTTACTAGAATTTTTAAAATTTACTTACATACGTAAAAGTCTGTATAGCTCCCACTCAGATCCTTTTATACACCCAAAAAGTGTATGTACTCAAAAGAGTAGTCAACTGCCATGACTACTACATCACTAGCTCATTCTTTTTACATGCAATACAATAATTACTAATGAGCTAGAGCTTAATGAAATATGCAAGCAATGTATAAGAAATAATAATAGTACTTTGACAATTGATTTAAAATAAATATAAATTTCAATTGGTGATAAGAAATGTATAACATCACTTTTTGTCTTGCTTATTATTCAATACCTTTATACAAATTATGATGACTATAGGTTTTTATACCATTCCAGCTTTCTAATTCAAGGTTGGGTCCGAATTCTCAATTTTTAGAATTGAAGCTGCTCTCTTATTCAAAGTTGAGTCCGAATTTCTAACTTTTAAAATTTCGAGAGTGTAAACTTATCTCGTCAGATCTTTTGCCTTTATTTATGCGCGCCTATCCTCCATATATAACTTATTTCATCTTTCCAACACCATTACCTTTTAACAATCATAATAGGTGCTATTGAAGTCACTACTTAATGAATCAACATATATATATACAAGAGTAAACTGGAATAAAATGCTATCATAACATACCAATTGTGAGGTTACAAATAAATGTAATTTATTATTTTCTATGGTATCATCATTTGGGTATCTCATCTTATAAAGAATTTGTTATTTTAGATCTTGTTTTATACACCAACTATACCAAACTCCTCATTCAACCTAATTCTCTTCCTTTCCTCTCTTTTCCTATTGCATTCAACAATATGCATCATCCATTTCCTGTTTTCAACTAAACGCATCAGTGACCATTGCCTACTTTCAACAAATAACAATCCTTTACCTGTTTTGAGCTTTTCCTTCCCTTTTTCTTTCCCTTAATCTTTCCTCTACTGATTTTAGCCAACCATAACTGAATTCTGAAAATATGAAATCAATAACCAGCCTTCAGCAACTTGATTTCAATAATACAGATTACAGCTCTAGAAATTCTCAGAATTGCAGATTTCTGCAAACACTGCTCTTGGCAAACTATTAATTCACAAACACTAAGTCTTTAATAACAGCACTCACCCGTAGCCTATGATGCATAGACACGGATACGGCGACACGGATACGACATGACACGGACACGGGACACGTCAGTTATTGAAAATATATGACACGGACACGGATTGGACACGTTATTATAGTTCTTATATTTAAAAAATAGTGTATAAAAATTAAATAAGTATAATTTTAAAAATAATTTGAAAATAATAAGTCATTTAACTAGAATTTGTGCTTAAAGGGTATTAAGTGCGGACGTTGATTTGGTGTTGCGGATAGGAAATAAGAAATTTAGTTTAAATCCTGCCAGATACAAGAAATTATATTTAAAAAATTAATAAATAATTTAAGATACGTGTGTCGGACACGCTTGTCCAATTTATATTTAATATTTTTTAATCGAACACGCTGAAAGCGTGTCCGACACGTGTCAGAGGAGTGTTAGACGAGTATCGTGTTGGATACGGTGTCGGACACTACATGCCTCTTTGAGGAGAAGTGTCGGTGCATCATAGCCCGTAGCACCTCTTTTCCCAGCTTCCCGTGCCCTTCAGTTCGCTACTTGCTTCGAATTCCAGAAGCTGGAAGGCAAGTGACGGGGTGGGAAAGCAATAGCATGGCTAACTTAATTTATTTACTTATATAATAATATAAAAGCCTAATGTCTGTCCACTACCATCATTCCATCAATATCCTGCAACATGATTTCATCAAGCCATTGATTGCATGCCAATTGAAGTGGAATGGCTACAATAATATATTATATTAAATTGTGCTTATGTGAGTGACTGCTACAGTATACAGCTTAATTAAACTTTGCGCTTATTGTTTTTTTTTTTATTAACTACTAAACAATTTATAATATTAAATGTATATACCGGTGTGTAATTTAGGTGTATATAGGTTTATGCTCCAAATTTAAAATAAGATTTAATAAAAATAACTTTGATGTTTTATGAAGGAATAGTAAAATAGGTATATTTTGAGGAAAATTTTATGCCAAATTATGCTTACATTTTTGAAAATCTTTGGGTATCATAGGTCCAAAGCCTCAAAGGTGGGGGAAGCATGAAGAAAGAGGTGGAGGTTCCAAAGATTGCCCAACCACCCTTGCAACAGTTATGTGAGGTGTTCCAGCTGCCTCAAGGCCTATCTCCCACAAGGAAGCATGAGCATGCCATCATCCTGAAGGAGGTGGTATCCCCTATTAGTGTTTGACCCTACCGCTACCCACAGGTTTAGAAGGATGAAATTGAGAAATTGATTAAAGAGATGTTGGAAGCCCAGATCATTAGTCCTAATGTTAGTCCTTTCTCCAGTCCTGTGTTGTTGGTGAAGAAGAAGGACAGTAGCTGGAGATTTTTTGTAGATTATTGGGCTTTGTATAAATAAATAGTATTGGATAAGTTTCCTATACCAGTCATTAATAAGTTATGTGGAGTGGTGATATTCTCCAAGATTGATCTGAAATCATGATACCATCATATCACAAAGCGGCCTACTGACACTCACAAAACTTCTTTTAAGACTTCTGAAGGCCACTACGAGTTCTTAGTTATGCCTTTTGGGCTTATCAACACCACCGCTACCTTCCAGTCACTTATAAACAATGTATTTCAGCCCCATCTCCGTAAGGTTGTATTGGTTTTCTTCGATGACATTTTGGTATATAGCTTGTCTGAGGCAAAATATGTGGAACACTTGAGGATCTTGTTAGTGACATTGAAGGAGCATCATCTGTATACCAATTTCAAAAAGTGTTCCTTTGTACAACAGAAGGTGGAGTATTTGGGACATGTGATGTCAAAATAAAGAATAGATGTAGTTTTTTTCTTCAAGATAGAGACCATGTTGGAGTGGCTCTACCCAATACCCTAAATGAGTTGAGGGGATTCTTGGGACTCGCTTGGTACTACATGAAGTTTGTGAGGGGATACAATTTTATTGCATGAGCAATTGAAGGACAATTTCAAAAGAGGAGAGGCAACCACCCAAGCATTTGAGTAGCTGAAGAAAGCCATGGCGAGTGTCCTTGTGTTAGCCCTACCAGATTTCAGGCTATGGTTTGAGAGCAGTTCTCATGCAGAGTCAGAGATCCGTAGCTTATTTTAGCCAGGTGTTTACCACTAGGGTCATGCTGAAATGAGTGTATGAAAGGGAGTTGATGGTGATAGTGTTGGCAATACAGAAGTGGTGATCTTACCTTTTGGGGTGGCACTTCATAGTCAGGATCAACTAGAGGAGTTTGTAAGTTCCTATTAGAGCGAGGATGGTTACTGAGGAGCATCATCAGTGGGTTATGACTTTGAGATCTAGTACAAGCCCATTTTGAAAAATAAAGCTACAAATGCTCTCTTTGGGCATAGTGAAGACCCTCAGGTTATGACTTTATTTGTTTCCATGGTGGTGGATTTGGAGGCCTTGAAGCGTGAGAGCAAGCATGATGAGTAGCTGAGTAAGATCAGAGGAGCCCTACTGCAGGACAAGGATAACCATCCCCAGACATTCGTTTGCATGTCTTTCTGTATTTGTGGGAACTGCAAATGTATTTGCAACCTAGCTGAAGTCATTTATGGCTAAGTTGAATGTGGTATAAACAATAATGTTAAAATGTTTGGTTATATTAAGAAGGTTAGTGGTCAAGTGATTTATTTGAAAGATGATGGGAGTAACATCCTTTGAGGATAAGTGAAAGAAGACATGTGGTTTTAGTATTTTGGTATGCACAATGGAGGTCAAAAGATGCACAAGTTAGGCCGGTCGATAGAATTATTAGGGAAATGTTATAAATTAAGGGTTAGAGAAGGTAACATGGCTAGAAAATTGTATGAAGAAAAATTTTCACAAAATAGAAATATCACTTCATCAAGCTCTCAGCAAGGAATTGAAGAGGATTGTTAAATACAATCTAAATAGTTGGAAACGGAATATGTCCAATGATGTTAATTCATTGGCCTTCAATTGTTTAATTTCTTTTTTGTGTAATATGCTAATGAAACTGCATTGTTACGTGACATCATTTGATCATATGACAGGAAGTTGAGTATTGTGGTCTTTTCATTTTCTATGTAGGTTTAAACTTTGTGCTAATTCAAGTTAAATTTTTCTATGTTTGTGCAGGTGTTGGAGTTGGATTCATCTCTGCTCTTATATCCTTTTCAAACCATCCTTTCTGGCTGCTCTTCTTTCTTTAGATCTTAGCTTTTATATTTTAATAATTCTTCTATTTCTTGATGGCCTGGCTGGACATAAATTTAGGTGGGCCTGGGTTGTGCAAACGCTTCTGGATTTGTTCACATCCTTGATATTTTAAGCCTATGCTACTTGTATATTGCCATTGCTACAATGCCAGTTTGGGCCTAAAATTGTCAGAGCCGTACGGAGTCTATTTATATTGTTTATGTATATAAATCAAGTAATTTATTCCTCTAGTGTAGTCTCTAGTTTAAAAGAACTGCATGTTTGGATGTCAAACTGGACCTGTCTTTAAATCTTGCTGGAAACTGAAGGCCTGTGGTCTAGCTAGCCATAGCTTGGTTCAACATTGGCAGGAAAATTATACCCGTCTCTTTAATTGTATTTTCTTATCTCTTTAATGTTATTATAACAGCATAACAGATATTACAATGTATTATATTTAGTATTTTTTCAATTTCCTTAGCCAAATGTGCATCACAATAACTTCTGAGCAAACATTCTTTGATTGAACTTTATAATTAGCAGGAGAAAAAGCTGACTGGTGAATACTTAAGAAGTCAAACTTTATTTTATTTTATTTTATTTCATTTGGTTGCACGGATAACGTCAAATGTTGATTGATATGTTTGAGATGTATGTCTGTGTTTTGTTCCCTCAGTGCGCTTGGACTAAAGGTCTGGCTCTTATGTCAAATATGTTTAGTTCCTCAAATTGAACTCGTTCATACGTCAGCCTTGGTTATGTTGTGTCTAATATAGATACTGGGGTCTTATTTTATTTTCTTATGTAGATCACCATTACTTTGCTAACCTAATAATCTACATCATGGTAAAAAATGAAAGTTGGACCATTTTGGTCCCAAATTATTTAATATGTTCGATTTGGTACTTAAACTCTTAAAAATTGTTCTAATTCAGCCTGATCGTTAAAATCATTTAATTTGGATTAAAGATTCATATATGGATGGTCATACACAATACCTACACAACTGAATTCATGAATTACCTATCAAGCAGAACACTTAAATATGGTTTTTAAAGGTGAGACTAAATTGGGACCATTTTCACTAAATCTCTATCATATGTTTTATCATGATGGAGTTTAAATGATAAAAGAGATGTACTCAGTGAAACAAGATCTGTTAATAAAGTAACACAAATTCAAACACACCAAAATTTTTTTTTTTATATATATTTTGACTTTTTCAACAACTTTGCTGTCAAAGTAACCACAAATTGAGATCCGCATACCTTCTGTTCGCTTGATCACCCTTCAAAAATGATACTAGGTGATATTCACCTAAATGATATTATGTTATGTTGCAATTCTTCTTTTTTGTGTTTTGTGGTCCTTTTTTTTTTTGCCTTCGGCACATTCTATCAAGTAATCTATTGTTTAGGCATGTATTTTATTTACACATTCGTGAAATTCTCTATTTGTTTTGTTTCGTTTTTACCTAATTTTAATAACAAAAACATGCATGCCTAGTGCAATGAGACGGATATGTAATTTCTTAACCACTTACCACCTGTTTAAGTATGCAGGGCTTGACGTTGACAAGTAAGTTCTCGTCTTGCTTTGAATTATTTTCTGGCTATTACCCGCATGAATTGGTAAAAAAAAATACTTTTCCTAATGCAGTCTCCAGAACTTGGAATGCTGTCTATTTGTCCTTTTCCCTTATTTTTCGTAAGAAAGCAACCAATTTTTCTGTCTTTTTATTAAGTTGAGAAAAGCCCTGATTTTTTTTTTTTTAATGTTATTAAGTTGTTATCTGTTTTCAGATACATGCTCGCAGAGGGCCTCGGTCTGTCTGGAATTGTTTCAATTTTGTTCACAGGAGTTGTAAGTGAACTTTATGTTTTTGGTTTATTTCCCATTTATTTATTTTATTCTATAAAATGATAAATCATCGTATAACCATCCTTTGAGTGTAGGTTATGAAGCACTACACCTTCTCAAATTTATCTGAAAGTTCGCAACATTTTGTTGCTGCTTTTTTCCACTTGATATCATCTCTTGCAGAAACGTTCATGTAAGAAGCATGCACATTAACTTGGGCGTCATATATGCAACATTTACATCATTGTTTTTTTTTTTGCAGATTCATATATATGGGTTTTGATATTGCCATCGAACAGCATAGCTTGTCACATGTTGGCTTTATCTTTTTCTCAATTGTATCCTTTAAGACCAATCTCTTAGCAGAAGCTATAATTCTATGAAAAAAAAAAGGGTTCATTTATGTTGATTCCTTGACTTTTCTTTCATAAATGGGCAGCTGTTCATAGTGGTTGCGAGGTATGTATTGGCCTCTCATTTATGAACTCCCTTATTTTATTGATCTATACCAGGACAGTATAAATAATATGTTCGCTCATGCTCCTTTGATTCCATGGAGTTTTTAAAATTTTTCTTGAGATATTGGCATGGAGATTTTTTAACTGATTTTTAGCTGTTTTTTAGAATTTAGACATAAATGTTTATTGAATCATGTAAAACATTCTTGTTCTTCATTAGATAACATGGCTTAGAGACGAGGCTTAAAAATAGGGAGCTTTTAGCAGTTAAGTGCAGCGAATTGTTTTTTACCATGCTAAAAGTCTTTGGCTTCTCATCCCAACGGATCCAGCTAATTTCCAGTAAGCTAATGAAGTTAATTGTTCAACTTCTATTATTGTTACCTGTTAAAGAGCTGACTCCGTCTTTCTTTTTCCTATAAAAATCCATTATTGAATGGTCGAAATCAGCACACTATCTTGATGCGCGTAAAAGGGAATTTTCCAATATTGGTTTAGATCGTACCAACTTCTTTCCTCTTGATTAAGGCAAACATTCAACAAACTCTCCAAGTATCTGGGAATGCATTGAATTTTATTGAATCAAAATAAGAAAATTTATCTCTTAGAATTTTATCATCATCCATTTGTTCTTGAATTGACCCCTCAAAGAAAGTTGGGATCCCATGACCCCATTTACGAATGAGTAGAGCCATCATGGATTTGCTGTCTGAATCAAACAAAGTAAAGTTGAATTTGATAAATTTGTTTTGATTCCTGTTTGACTCAAGCAAAGCAAAGTTGGCCTTTGTAAATTTGTATTGATTAGAAGAAAATGACTTATGTATTTGGCTTTGATAATGTCATTGAAAAAACTTGGTACAAATAATATGACGTCATTGCTTCTAAATGAAGTTTATGTTTGGATAGAGGCTCGAACATAATAGACTTGGGTGATGATGCACTCCTTATTCACTCATAAGTGTACCTAGTGCAAGATGCTGCCACGCATGTAGGCTTTAGAGAGGTTTATGCACACTATATTACCCATGCATCACAAAGAGCATGTTTTTGTTACTCTAGCCCACGACCTCCAGGTCACAAAGAACAAGTACTAAAGTAGATCATTTCTCTTTGAAGAAAAAACATTACATAATTTTTTTGCAAAATTACTAGATTATAATTCCCTGCTCTAACTTCCACTCAACCATGAAAGAACTAGAAATAATAATGAAGTTGAAAAATATGTATAAGATTAAAGAAAAAATATCAATTAGAGCTAGATGAGAAAGCATTTTGCATGAAGAAGTTCATCATATCTCTTGGAATATCTAAAGTCTCATATTTAATAATGCTCACTCTCCCATAATAAAATATAGCTTATAAAAATTTCTAGTTAGATTGTACATATCACACCCCATTTTATTTTTGGCGCTCTACAGTCAACCATGAAACTCAACAGTTGCAAACAATCTAGTTAGAAATTAGTTTGCCTGAATTATCAATCCATCATACAATAGACCTACCACACCCATCTTGACTTTTATTAATCAGGATTGGAGGAGTAAAAAATTAGTCTGCCTGATTTTATCACAAAATAAACATTACATTTCATAATATTCCAACAATCCATCATAAAGATTGATATGGAAGCATTGCATAATTAAAAATATCAAAAGAATTATATAGCTTATAAATAAACTTCAAATATAAATTTATATGAACCAAAAGCAATTAATTTACATCATATACATCTTATTTTAAAATACATCTATTAATTAGTAATTAGAATAGAAGCCATAATTTCTGGACATGCTAACCCTACTAAAATTTAAATACTATCTAATATGGCCAAAATGATAAATAATTATTTTACCCTTGGTAATTGACAAGATTAATTAAAATTTTAGTCTTTTTAGCTTTATTATTGTGCATCTTGCCAACAATTTTATCCTATTACATTTTCCTTTTCCTTGTTCTCGTGAGATACAATAGCGCCACTGATGAGGACATCAGTCGTCGTTTCCAACATGTTTATCACAAGAGATATCGCAAATCGACGGCCAAGATCGGAGGCATCTTTTGAGTGCTTTGTTATTGTATTAGTTTTATTTTATTATTTTTGTTTCAGTGGACCTTTGTACCCCTGTGAGGGAGTTGAGTGCTTTTTAGCCCATGGGGCTTATGCGTATTTGTTTATTTTCATTAGCTTGGCCTATATATAGTGGCCAAAGTCTTTGTATCAAATTTTAATGAATGCTTAAATGAAAATCTGATTTTGTCTTCTTCTTTGCGAGTGTGCTTGAGAGAAGAGAGAGAGCCTGAGGTAAGGGCGAGCGCAATACCCATCAGTCATTGGAGGAGTCTGTGGCTCGTGGTCTATCTCATTCTTCCCCTTTCTTCCTCCCTCCACCCTGACCCCCTAGCTTCCTTCCCAAGCCGCCGGCCACATTCCTCTCTACCCAATCCACCCACCTTCATGCCATCCTCAAACCCTTTGACATTAAATCCTTACCCCTCCCCACCACCGGCCAGAACCTCATAATCGCCAGCCGAAATCCTTTCTCCAAACTCCACCGCCAGCCCACCCATTAAACCCTCCAATCATCATAACTCTCTTCCTAAATTAGCTCCAAGAGAAAAGGAAAGTAATTACCTCAATTTGAAATTCAAATTTTAAAAACTTTCCTTATTTGCCAATTCTTAATTAGGAAAGTGCATAAATTCAAGTTTATTGGAAATTCAAATTAAATTGGATTTCATGATATCTTTCCTAATTACCATGTGTTGCTTTGGAAACTCATAAAACTCTCCCCACAATTCCCTCCCTCCTCTTCATACCGCCGGCCAACCCATTAATTGGTTAAAATTCATTACTTCTCCCCTTAATTAGGAGCTTAACTCAAGGCTCCAAATAAGGCTTCATTAATTCCCACTTTAATTTGAAATTTTGAATTCAAAATTCAAATTAGATCCCGCCAAATCCACTTAAAATCTAAAATTAATTTCATATTTTGATTAATTTCCCTCTCCCCTCTTCTAACCTAACCCAAGTCCACACCCAAGCCGCCCCTCCTCTTCTCCCCCACCTTGGCTGCCCCTTTATCTTCTTCCTACCTCTCTCTTGGAAGCTCCAATCCAAATGAATTCCATAGCAAGGAAGAGAAGGGTTCATTGAAGACTACATCGATCACATCCTTCTTCACCTAGCGGAGGTGATCAACGAGCACGATCGTCGGTGCAGAGGCAACTCGTGGAACATTCAACCTTGCCTCCTTCTCCGGCTACTTCTCCTCTGATCAAGGCCTTCGGCGTCACCATCCTCTTAAGTGGCATGGTCTAGTTCGCCAAAGACTTCTCTCCATTAAGTTATTCCCCTAGAGCATGAGTGAGATACAAGGGAGCTTGAGGTGAAAATTCTTGGCAATTAACCTATGGATTGTTATTACAAGTGCATTCGATTTTATTGTGAATTGTCGATTTTATTTTGAATTGGCTTGTCCTTCTAAATTGCAACTGATTACTAGAACAATTTGCCAGAGATAATTCTTCAATCTTTTCTTGTAATCCATTATTCGTGAAATAGTAAGCTTGCAAGACTTTTATTATTTCTTTAAAATCTTGGTTGTTTCACATCAGCCACCCCTCAATTTTGGTGAACTAGATCATCAAGAATTTTTGTGGCTGCATTTTATATATTAAAGGATGCTGATTTAACTTGGCCACTTTCCCCACCAGCAGTTTTATTTGGATTAAGGAAATTTTAAATATTGTTGTTTGGTAACTGCTTTATTTTTAAACTAACAAGTTGAATGTTCTTGAAGAGCTGCAAATGTTTTTTCCTGTGCTTACTTGGTAAATTTGGCAAGGCCATCGAATCAACAAATACCCATGAAACATCAGAAAGCACTTTGGTATAGTGGTAAGTTGGCTTGGTGCTATAGATTGCTTTATTGTTTTTATTTTGCATTGGCATTCTTATGTTCCTTTTCTCATGAATAGGACTCAGAGGTGCTATGGCCTTCGCCCTTGCTCTGCAATCTGTACATGACCTTCCTGAAGGACATGGAAAAACAATATTCACAGCTACCACGGCAATAGTTGTTCTAACTGTATGTTTCTAATGACAGATTCCTGTCTTTAGTTTTCGTTGGTACAAGTTGAGACTTTCTTCATGTTTTCTTAGATATATCTCATTCAGTCATTTAGCCTTCTGCCTAAATATTATTTTATTGGCACATCCATTAATGATCTGAAGTATTTCTTTTAAGCTGAGCATAGCACCTCTCTGTAATGCAGATTGAATATGCAAATTGACGTATGTATATACAAATTTACCAAACAGGCAAAATGGTAAGTGTATAAGAGGGTAATGAGTTAACGAGTAAAATAGACAGATCTGAGCTGAAAGAAACAGTATATTTGTCAATCTGAAGAAAGATGATAATAACTGAAGTAATATTTGCTAGGTAGAGTGATTTTTTTTTTTGGGAAAATCTGGGTTCAAGGATCCCTTAAAGGAAAGTGTAAAAGATCAAGAGATACAAATAAGGTTTACATACAGTATAGTAAGTGAAACCAGATGCTCAAAACAACAAATTAAAGAAAAATACAAAATTTAAATAAATCTCATTATTAACTTCTTAGGTGATCAAGGCAGATTGAAATCCGCCATCAGTTAGGCAATTTTGTAATTTTTTCTTCCATTTCGAGTATCTGTACCTAAAATATGTCAGGATATAATGTTGTACTAGAGAACCTTAAGATCTTTGGCTTTATCCTAACAACATCTAAGCTTCTTTTCCTTCCAGATAAACTAAATAGCATCAAGGAAAACGAGTCCCATAGATTGTCAGATTTCCTTTGACAACATTTATCTTATTGATGCATCTGATGATATTAGTAATGCTAAAAATAATTTAAAGTATATCCCAAATGCTTGAAATGTCAGGGCAGCATTAAAAATTTAATAGTCATCTTCATGGTGAACCTTAAACATGCTGCATGTGACAGTAGAATAATTTCCATTTTATGAATATGGATTTTGCTAGAAATTTTCCTTTGATTGATGATCCATGCAAAGATAGAAATTTTGAAAGGAACATTGGATTTACATATCCAATTAGTGTTAGCTTAAATAATGATATCATTGAAGAGGAATGTGTAAAAAGTGTGGGCTCAAAAAAGACATGCTCGGCTTCGCTGAGAGTGTTTAGGTTCTAGATGTATTTATTAGATGGAATATTAAATTGTGTTGATATGACACTACGCAGAAATTTTGCCCTGATTTTATGAGGGATTTATGATTTGGCTTCAGGTTTCCTATAGGCGCAAACCCCTTCGGTTAATTATTCATATTGATGATGAGAAAGAATTTTAGATTAATGCTAGTTGTTAGATAGAAGCTAAGTGATTAGCGTATAGTAGCAATAGATTTGGCTTAGGATTGACAAATTTACTACCAGTGGATGGTGAGGGAAATGATGACAAACCTCATCAAGATCCTGTAGTTTCATCATCATGGGTTGTTATAGTACTTATTCCTCGGTATTAGTTGATCTAACCCGACCAATGGATCCTTGTCTGCAGCCATATGTTGCTTCTTCCAAGGCACCCTCCTCATGAATGCTTGTCGAAGAGGATGAATTTAAGTCGATTTTGGTTAATATAGGGTTTTGTGTGCTATCAAGCACACCCTATGATTCATAAATCAAGGGTTTTTAAGCCACTGGTAAACTTACGGGCTCTAGTCGTAACTATAATTTAATGGTGTAATTTTACGGAAAACCTATCCTCTTAGGGATCCTCAATTGTAATTGTTTACATATGGTGTCGTTTGGTAACAAAATTACCTTCAGAGGTCATATGCCACATCTTTACTAGCAAGAGATTGTTTGAGAGTGAACATACTGATACACATAACAAGATATGAGCTCTTTGTGAGATGAGGTTATTCTTAATTTATCTCTCTTGATAAATTGTTGTAAATGATAGATGGATATTACTTTAAGCTTTGGAATGGTAAATGTCACTTAAGATGTTTTTACATTTTGTTATAAGCACATGCGGACATTTTAATATTTCTACTCTTGCACCTTTTTTTATGCAGATGCATGACACTCTTGCATGTTTTTTGATGCATTTGCATGATGCACTTGCACATTTTCGATGCACTTATACAACTATTGATGCACTCATATAGTGCTTTTTTCATTTCTCAAGATTAGTCAAACATAAATTTATTTTTATTTTAGCTCGCATAATTGTTGAAACATATACGAATATTAACCTTCTCAGATTGTTTGTGTAACCTTCTCAGATTGTTTGTGTAACTTTCTCAGATTTTAAGTTTGAGTATTTAACATATTTGTTGAAACATATACGAATATTTTAACTTTAGCAGTTCTAAACATTTTTGTATGTAGATGCATGACACATTTGTATATTTCTCGACACACTTGTGCGATGCAATTGCATGATCTTCATTGCGCTTACGGGACATAATTGTGTTTTTAATGCACATACATGATGCCCTTGCATGCTTTTTGGAGGCAATTTCTTGAAGGTAATAAAGAATAGCTTACACATCATTATATCGCTAATATCAAGAAGTGAAAGAATCGTTTCAAAGAAAGCAACTTGGTCAGCAAAATCCATCCTTCCCTTGTACGAATCCATATGAGAGATTTTGAACTTCATTGGTATTCCCAGAGAAGGCATGGGTAGTTGATGACCTATTCTTAATTTTCCTTTCTTCCTGACGAAGGGTCGAAGTCAACTTATCATTGTTCGGGTAATATGTCTCTTCATGTCTAAATTAGGGGTCAATGCTCTATCTCTAGATAATCTCCTTCTCGTCATAAAAGAATTAGAGGATCCTTCAGGCAATTATACTCAATGAGTGGTTCTCAGCATTCTCTGCAATGCTTCTTGGATCATTCAAGTCATACTCTCCTTGAATTAAACAAGTTGATGAATAGTCATGAACCCTTGAATCTCCATGTTAACATATTCTTTCTCCTCTTATTAGATGTTATTTTGCTTCATGTAGTACTTCTCTTTTAGTTACTAGTATGCTCCATGCAGACCACATCTTTTAGGATGTTGAATTCAAAATTGTCCATGAATAACATCCAACTATATTTAGAGTATTATGTGAAAGTAGAGAGGAAAAATAATGTTTGAGTAAGAAGCTCAGGGATTTCTGCTAAATGTGCTCAATTATAGAAAATTATGTAATCAAACTCACCTCTTGACCGCTTATTTATAGATTTAGTGGGGCTTAAGCATTATAAAATTGATTACATATATGGCTATAAAAAGTTAAGCAAAAATATAATAATTGTGTAGCCTGGTTGGAAGATTCAACTTGATATAGTAGTCTCTCGAGTAATCGGATAATTGAGTTAACGATCAATAGTTTGTCTTGATAAGTCATTTGAATAGTTGTCAATGCTGACTTATAGATAGTAGTTGCTACTGTTGATTGATAAGTTTTAGTTGCCTATGGGGACGAGTTCTTGGATTATGATGATCTGCTTGAGGCAAATTCTCTTGTAGATTGGAGACTATGAAATCGAGTAAATTAGTTAACTTGGCAAGAGCTGGGTTTTTTTATATTTGGGTGTATAGATATCATTCTTAAGTTCTTTCTAATTCTATTAAGTACATTTTTGCCTTTGGCGTTTAATTTTCGTATTCAAAATTCACATTGTTGCTATATAGCCTTTGATCAAGAAAATCAGTGCTTTAATCCTTTTTGTGAATTATTTAGGTACTACTAATAGGAGGTTCTACCGGGACCGTGCTGGAATCTCTGGAAGTTGTTGGTGATGTACATGATGATTTAGTTGGAGAGGTATCTTATAAGTCTAAGTTAGAAATTTGCTTTCATTCTGTCCTTTTTTTTGTCGCATCTGTTTTTTTTTTTCGGAATGGGTGCTTTTATATATCTAAGAAACGAATGTAATTGAGAACATCTCTCTTTTAATTTATTTTTGCTCAAATCTGTTCTTATCCTTTTGGAAGCGACTGGTTTATTTTATTTTGCTTTGACATTTTGTCTGATTTTCATTCTACATAAAACCTTGTGTAAGCATGTGGATGCGTCCTACTTATTTTCTGGTTAGTTACTCTTTTATTTATTTTTTTTTTACTTTTTTCTTATTTGTAACATTTGTTGCCTAGTTATTTTACCTTCGTAATGCTCGTCTCCCCGTCAACAAAGTTGATGGAAATGCTGCTGTTGTTGACTTTGTTTGTTGCATTGTCAAATTTTAACTGTTTTACTATCTTTGCCAGAGTTTTGAGGAGAGCAATGGCTACATTGCCCCATCTTATGACGAGGGGGCATCATCTGGAAGCAGGCTCAGAACGAGACTCCAAGAATTTCATAGAAGGTTTACTAGCTGTGTTTTAGTTACTCTCTATTGCTTCTTATGCTTGCTTGACCAAGGTTGGATTTAAGAGGAACTCGAAGGGCCACGTGGTCCTCCCCTCTAAATTTTAAAAATATTTATCATATATATTTACTATTAAGTATTTTCAATAAAAAAATTAATTTGTGCCTTCTTCAAATTATAAAACTAAAGAAATTTTTTTGACTCCGTCATTGACTTGGACTGTTTTCTTGTTCTGCTGCAGTGCTGCTTCTTTCACGGCTCTTGACAAAAATTATCTTACTCCTTTTTTCACTAGCCAATATGATGAGAGCGAAGATCTCGGTAAGAATGCATAACCACTTAAATTAAGGCCTTTAATTTTGCAGTTAACTATAAGCTTTGGGGAACATAGCACATGCATTAAAATGTGCTTCATGTACCGTGGGCAAGCCTTTGTGTGGATTTAATGTCAGGTTCTGACCATCTTTTATATCGTTAGCCATGTTACTTTTGCTCTTATCTTTTTCCTAATCCTCCCTAATCCTTATTATTTTTTTTTCCATTTTTTACTTCTATACATCCCCATACCACCTAGGTCTATTTTCTATTTCATTTAACTTCAATTAATGATATACTTTCACAATCTCTTTTCTATAAATTTTTTTATAATTTATCCTTTATAGGTATGTCCTAATACCAACTTAGCATTCACACTTTTGGTTGAATTTGACTATCACTACTTCTTTCTTACTACATTTAGATCCATATAGTATAGTCTATCTAATTTCAATTTTACATAATTTTTATTTTGAGTCTCTGTCATGTTCTTTTATTGCTTAATACTCTGGAGATATTTAATTTAGCCTTTTACTTAGAACTCTAAAAGTCAATCCTAATTTATGTTGTTATTATTTTGTACAATAAATTAAAGATACCAAACCTATTGCACCTAGGTATTAGATGATCTTGTAGCAATATTGACTCATAGTTATCAGTGTCACAATCATTAAATTTACATCTTAAATACTCGATATTTCTGCTTGTTAGAAGAGAGAATCGGAAATGATTTCATATTTATTAAATTTTACATATATATAATTTCCCAGATATTACGAGTTCCTCAAAGAGCGTGGCTAATTTGTCAAAACAGGGTACTGTAAATCAGACAAAGGATTGGTGATGGATTTGTGTCAAAGGAGATATTGATTAAATTGTTGAATGATGTTTCAAGAGAAATGATTAACGTAGAGTATTATCAAAGTGGGCCTCGATAGCATCAACAGTCTTAAGGACTTAATTCACCAGCACAGATTTTAGAGGACAAATAGAGATTAAGAGGATTAACGGATGAAGGTTATGATGAAGAGGGGCACAGAGGCTGATTTGCTTTTGGTTTTCTTGGATAAGGAGAAAGGTGAGCTGGTTAAGTAGGTCTGCACGTGGGTGCCTAATGAAGTAGACAATTTATAGGGGGGAGTATGGAAGGGACTCTATTGATTAGAGCTCATATAGACCTCTAGGATCTCGAGGATGTGATAGAGTGGGATGAGAGCAAGATAAAGCATGAAGGTGATCCTGGATTGGTAAGCAGAGTGAGCATGCTTTGAATCAAATCTTTGAGAAAAAGAGCTAGTAGGAAGGATGACATATTTATTGAATTGCCATCTTAGTACAAGTATACATGCTTCTATATGTTACCATGATAAGAAAAGAATAAGAAAAATACAATAAATGAGAATATCTTCAATAACGAAGAAATGTAATAATAATTAGCATAGATTTCTCCTATAAAAGTTAACATATATGATGATTTAGATATGATAATAGTTTTAATTGTCAAATAGTCTTTATTTTCTAAAGATTTTTCCCATCATTTTAACTAATCATGAATTTCAATAGAGGCCTTACAAGTTAACATTTAGAACTATTCATCTAGAAATAGTGCACATTTAAGTACCTCACATTGGACGTTCATTGTGAACTTCTCAGTACCAATACAGAAAATAAGAAGTAAATGTAACTATACTGATTGAGACACTTTGGGTGAGTCTGTTACTATAATTAATACTAATTAATGTGTATTATACACATCTTTAATAACTTTAACATAATTTTGTCACACTTTCTGTTTTCTAAAAACACACCAAATATGTTATCTTAAGACTTGATCATATGTCTTAATTTAGAGAGAAAAAAAAAAAAACCAAAATTGTTCCCTGACTCTTAGTAAGTGCCCAATTTAATCCAGAGTTTCGCATTGTCCTAATTTAGTCCCTCGAACTATTGAAAATTGATTCAATTTAATCTCAAGGTTGAAAATAATAATTGAAGTTAACAAAAAGTTAAATGTAAGGGTATTTTAATAGTGTAAGTATTTGTGAGATTCTATTTCTTATGTTGCTCTATTTTGTAATTTAATTAATTAAATATAAAAATTAACCTACTAAGTAATAAGAGTGAATAATTAGTAAAAGAATATTATCTATTAAGTATGCCCAAAATCCCTCTTACGCCCCTTCATTTTTTTTCAAAGACGATGCTTTGCCACTCGCAGCTTTTCGGGAAACTAATTTGCTCAGACTTCGCCGTTCGCACCCACAATTACAAATCTTAGCCTCTCTTGCATGCTCTTGTCAGATATCGCCTCACGCTACTCATCGATTTTTGCCACACAATGCTTCAATTAATGACTCGTAACTCTCAATTGAAACACTGCAATCCTTCAGTCACTTGATTTCGCACTTGCACAAGATGGTCCTAGAACTAGATAAGCTGTGGCATTGTAAAAAATAAAAGGAATTTTTTTTTTATTAAAATGCACCCTCACATTATGAGAAGTGGGAGATCTGCAGAATATTTCATTAAATTTGATAGATTTTCTAACAAAAGGATTAAATTGGGCACTAATTAATAAGCCCCCGTGCAAGGGGGTGGGGGACTATTTTGAGTTTCTTCTCATAAAATTTATGGAAGGATCATTTTTGCTTTGTATAGCTTTCTCTTAATTTGTCTTAGTACAAAAATTATCTTCACGACGGATATTCCTTGCATGAAACCAATATGATTTTTCAAAGCCGGTACTCATTTATTCACTTCTATGCCTTCATCATATGATTCTAAAATTTGATTAACCATAGTTCCCATAATTGTGAGGTACTTTTTCATTCTTAAATTGTTATATCTAAATACATCTTTTCCAATTATTTATTATCTGTGTCTTAAAGATCCCATTGAAAAGATTTGTTTATCAAATTTCTTTAATCTCTTTTCACTCTCCAAATTTCAAGAGATATCACAACATATGAACTTAAATATTGACCTTTGTACTTTGACATCAAAGTAAAATAACTTTTTTATCATTCTATGCAATATTTTATAGTTATATTTATCCTGTCATTCTTAAAGGATTTGTCCTTTAGAATTCTCATTTAATATCAAAGTAGAATTTTGGTCTTTTCTTAATATCTTCAATTTTTTATAAAATGTTAATTATCTTGTCTTCAAATGCATATAACTTGATCCAGCACTACATCTTTTTTTTTTTTTTTTGTCTTATATAATTTATCTATCTCTTGTTCTTCTTTTACCTATCTTTTCTCACCCTTATACAAAATCAAATATAATTTTTTTATAACATTTCTATATTTATTACATACCAAATAGGAATCATGTCATAGCTCATCTTATTAGAATTTATATAAATATGCAATAATAACCCTCTTCTTCAAGTATAGTGTATAGGTATTGATTATAAGCAGGCATATTGACTAATCATATTTATAATATGCTTATTAATAATTGATTAATATATATCTTCATATGATTATTTCTATTAACCTTAATAATATTTTATCATATTCCTTTTGCTAAACTTCGCTACATAATTATAGACTTAAAGGATACATTTGGGACAATGGTAACTTTTTGTAAAGATGTTTATAAAGTTATTTTGGGAAAAGCTAAAGTTGTAAAAATTTTTTTGGAAGCAGTGAAAAAGTAGTAACAAATACTAGGGGTGTCAATATTTGACACGACCCGAAAACCCGACCCGAAAATTTCGGGTTCGGGTCAACCCGACGCGTTTCGGGTTCGGGTTCAACATTTCGACCCGTTTCAAAAATCGGGTCGGGTTCGAGTTAACCCTTTGACCTGAAATTGATCCGAAATTGGCCCGATTTTGATCCAAAAACCCGATTTTGACCCAACAACCCGAGATTGACCCGTTTTTTTACCCGAAAAAGAGGAGATAGACCCGTTTTCGACCCGAAAATTATCAAATTTTTTGTTGAAAACGGGTCATTCGGGTCATGTCGGGTTGACCTGGACCTGAAGTGGGTCGGATTCGGGTCAGGAAAACTGGCCCGTATTAAAAACGGGCCGGGTTCGGGTTGACTCGAATAGTGCCGGATCAGTTTCGGGTTCGACCCAAACCCGACCCGTGACCCGAAATTGACACCCCCAACAAAAGCTATGGTTGTGGCCTGAAAAACAAAATATTAAAAAAGTTGTCTCATACAAAACCTAAATCACGCAATATTTATTTGTCTTCTAATCGTTATGCATGTATTTTTTGGTCTATTCACTTGAAGTTCTTAAATTTCATTTTAGTCTAAGTATTTTAATATTAGGGTTTAAATTTATCATTAACTAATTTGTTAAAATCCTTATTGCATAACAGATGAGCAGCCGCAGAGGACGAGAAGAGCGGGCTTCAGAGGACATTAGATGTTCAACTGTGCAATTAATTTATTGCATCAAACTCAAGGTGTAAAACGATATGGTAATTAACCAAATAGTAAGCTTCTGTATTACCGTTATAAATTTGCTAATAAAAATAAAATGCAATTTTCTCTTACCGTGGAGAACAATGCAATAGCCAATACAAGTTCGTAGTTTTACTTTCTTTGTTTTTCAATTTTTATATGTAAATAGAGAATCCTAAATTGTAGAGAACACATCATTTTATAATGATTTTGTTCCACTATTTTATGTTAAAAAGGAAGAACTTATGGCCTCTTTTTTTTATCCCGGGTAGGGGATTCGTGTGTGGATCGATGGGAGGAATTGCTTCCGTCGATCTGCGTGGATCGCTAGGAGGAATTGCTTCTGTCGATCAACAGGCTGCAATGTGATCCCATTATGATCTCTTTTTTGCTTGGCTTTGTGAATATTATGCAACTTATTGGGAAAAAAATGTTAAGGTGGTGTTAATCTATATTTAGAGAGAGAAAATGTGAAAGATTTTGTGTTTCATAATCTTGCAAACAGGAAAATTTTTTTGCATGGAAACTTCTATGAACTCCTTTATGAGATTATTGACAACAACCAATCTTAACGTGCGTTAAAACTTCTACATGTGGTATGTGTGAGAAGAATAAGATATCTGAAGCAATTTTAAATAATAAAATAATTAAATCTGAACAAATGGCAAAGTGCTAAAAATAAATAGCAAACCTAGGGGTGTCAATTTGGGTCAACGGGTCGGGTTCATGTTCAACCCGAGTTGACTCGGGCATAAATGGGTTGATTTGAACCTGACTCATTTAGCTAGATAGGTCAGGATATACAACCCGAACTCGACCCGTGTGGGTTGAAGGGTTGACCCGACCCGCAAACCTGAATCGTTGAGTCGCGTTCGCGCCACATTATTGCGTAGGGCTTGGGCATGGGTGAATGCATTTGCAAGTGAGGCGTAGTTTTGCGGATTGGCGGAGCAAGCAACTGGGCTTGTTCAACCGTTCATGGGTGATGGTCTTGTCGTAGGCCGGAGGAGGCGGGATACGCTGATGCGGGCAGTGAACCGCAGGGCGCGGTGTAGGCCGAAGCATGAGTAGGCTAGGTCTGTTTGGGTTGGTTGGAGGAGGGTCGCGATTCTGACATGCGGTCCGTGCCTCCGTGGCGACTGGGTTAGGCGGAGACGAGGGTCACATTAGGTCAAGGTCAAGAGTTAGCCAGGTCGACCCGCTGGTTTTTGAGTTAACTCGAACTCGAACCGTTTTTCATACGGGTCAAAAATTTGAATCTGTACCCAACCCGTTTTACAAACGGATTGACCCGAACTCAATGTTTTTCTGGTCAGGTTCGAGTCAGATTTCAGGTCATGTCAACTTTTGACACCCCTAAGCAAACCTAAAATTTATATGCATTGATTTTGATTTCTAACATGTCTAACATGCGTCAAAGTTTTGTGCTTCACCTCCCAAGACGAACTGGGTTTGTCAAACTTTTATTTTCCTATACTTTATGGCTTCTCACAAGGGATAAGAAAATTAAGAACTAACATACATTTAATTAGTTAAGATCAACTTAATCAAGTCATTATCAGGAGTTTAAATTAGGTTCAACAATTTATTGATTATGAATCAACTTGAACTATTTATAACTCAAAACTCATTAATATTGAAGCTGCCCAAAGCCTCAAGTTGCCCATATCTAAGTCTCATCAAGTTCCCCAACATATCTTTAACTCGGTCCTTAGTACTAAGCGCCTGAACATCCAAGGGAACTCTTGAAGACGAAGTCACTCATAAGTTGAGGCCATTCTTCCAAAGAATTAAAAACTTACTCAAAATACTTGCCAATTATCTTGTGATTTTCACTAAAAGAACTTGCTAAGGGTACTCATCCCCAATTTAGAACTAGATTGTAGTTCACAACTGTCCATGGATTATAAGCCTAATGCGCCCGCTACATCGAGTTCCACTTTTACAATTTTATTATAATTGTATCATGCAACCAATTCTATAGCGTCAACCTTGATTTACACTTATGTGTTGGGGCTCATTATTTGGAGAAATTATTTCGTGCGGAATCCGGACGGGAAGAACTGTCTAAACTGTGAGTGTACACACTGTGTATAAATAGTGTGTACAAAAAATTGATACATGATGTATATAAATTTATATACAGTGTGTACACTCACATGTCTGGACAATTGTTTCTCTCCGGACTCCGTATGAAATAACCTCCAATTGATTGAGCGGGTAAACATTTAAAATCTATCACATGAAAAAGTCTCATTGAAATCATATAATATCTCTTTTTCCTAATGGCTTATTGATATTTGAGGTTGACTCGCCTTTATCTACGAAAAGAATTTGGTCATACTCGATTAATTATTTCAGAGATGAATTGAGACCTAATTTTTTGCTCTACCTTTTGCTTTTTAGGCTTAATTCATTTTTTAGGAAAGCCATGGAATTTTTTTATGAAAAACTTTGAATCTTAAATTACGGTTAACTAATCCCTTAAAAACAAATTATGGCACATGAAGTTACAAACAAATTTTAAAAGCAATTATATATATTAAATTTTATCATTTAATCAGATATAGTTAAAAATAAAAATATTTTAATCTCCACAAATATTTTTAAGTCTCCTCAAATAATATACTTTTATTTTATATAAAGAAAGAAAAAATAATAATATTTTCTAAAAACATAAATTTTATTTAAAAGCAAAACAAATGAACTCTCAACAAAATTTTACTTGCAGTTAATTACCTAAACCCTAATGTTATCTCTGCCTGCGATTGCGGTGTTTCCGACCGTTTGCAACCGAAACTCTTTCAAATTTGTCAGTCGCGTATAGAAATTCACCCCCAAATCGTAGCCGTTTTCTTAAATCTCTCTCTCTCTCTCTCTCTCTCTCTCTCCCCAACGGCTACTTCACCCCGCCGAGCAACCCTCCGAGCAAAAAACTCTCAGTCCAGAGATAGAGACACAGGCTAAGCGAGAAAGGACAAGAGAGAATTCCCCCGATACCTCTCTTCTTGCTCCTCCAAACCCTAATCTTTCTTATTCCCGCACCTCTCATGGAAGCAGAGAAGTTAGATGAGCTTCTCCCTCCTGCCATGGCCGCTGCGAAAAGAACCAGGTTCCGAACAAGAGAGGTTAGTTCTCGTTACATGATCCCACCATCTCCACGCTCCATACCTTCATCTCCCATCCACCTTTCTACCACCTCCTCTTCCATCAGAAACCAACTCAATAACCAGAAAACCCGAGTTCCCTCAGTCCCTTCTTCCCCTGATGCATCGGATTCCGAATCGGAGTCCTCATCACGCTATGCAGATGAGAACCAACACAGCTTCGTCACTCCCCTTCGTGCCATAATGCACGGAAAGGGTCAAAAAACCCACAAGAAGTGTGTGGTAAGAATTTTGTCTGACAATACGCGCGATGCGTCACTGACGCAGAACGTCGAACAATATAACAGCAGGCCCAATACTAGGGTAGAAACCCCGATCGCACGTGATCGTGGCCTTGGCACTCCGAGGCCGGTCCTTTATAGTCAAACTCAGTTCAGATCGATGAAAAAAACTGCAAACCATGAAGGCAGATCGAAGACCTTAACTCCTTTTCCAGGATTGATGGCTAGCTCTACGCAGAAATCTTGTTCTTCGGTTGATTCAGGAACCGAGAGCTGTAGCATTAGCAGTCTAGGCGGGTTATGTAACAGCCCGCCAATCCGAACTCAGGGAAAATGCAGGGCACGGAAAGCTTTAGAACTACGGTCTTCGATGCCTGAGGCGGATTCATTGCCAACTAGTTCAAGAAAGTCGGCTGAAGTAGAGGAATTGATGCTTAGGCATTCACTTAATTCGGGTTTGTCAATTTGCCAGCCTAATCCTCTCAATCTTGCGAAGATAGGGAGCAGCAAGACTTCAGTTCAAGAAATGTGTAATCTAGGGAGGGTTTTTTGGCCTCCACAGCCACCAAGCACTAGATTGGGGTTAGACATGAAGAAGGGTAAGAAGGGATCCAGCGCGAAGGAAGATGTTCAATTTCTTAATCTTCTTCATAATCAGTATCTACAATGGAGGTTTGTGAATGCAGTGGCGGAGTCTGCTGTTAAAGCAAGGTCCAATACTACAGAGGTTGGATACAATTTTATTTTTATTAAGAATGATGTGGTTTTGTTTCTTTTGTACATCTCTTTTTCTATATATAATTAAGTCGTGTATGTTTTTCACCAGAGATCACTATCTGAAGTTTCTAAAAAACTAGAAGTGTTGCGGGATGCAGTCATGGAGAAAAGAATGGAACTTGAGAAGCTGTTAAGATTGAGAAAATTGATTAACTTTGTTGATGTAGAGGTATGGCTTGTCCAAAAAATATTTGAAATATTTTAAATATTCTCTTTTTATTTTCCTTTTATGGCGTGATGTTGTTTCTTAGGAATTGGAAAGGAAGGTTATATTATGTTCAGTGTGGATAGTCACGATTAACTTTAAGTAAGCATCATTTATTTCGTTGATGGTATTTAATGTGAAAAATGAAGTCAAGGCTTCTGAGATGAAACACTAGGCATAGGAAGTGCCATATTACACTTAGGTTTTATTTGGCAATCTTTTTGCTTTGTTGTGTACTCGATTAAAGTGGGATAACTATTTGGTGAAATCACTCTTAATTTTGCTGTTTGAAGCAGTAAAAGATCTAATGTTAGTAAAAAATATTATCACATTGTTATGAGTTGAATAAATGGCTAAAATACTTATTATCATACAAGATTAGTTTATTTCCTAATCATTTGCTAACACATAAGTAATACACACTTATTTAGTATCCTAATAATTTAGACTATTATATTTAGAGGGATTTATATACATAACACGTAAAATATTAACATTTGCATATTTAGCACCCAAATTTCACTATTTATACCGTCTAGCTCTTCGTTAATTGTGTTAGCGGATCTCACATGACACATCATTGGGCTTGTCTCCGCATTTACTTGGACCCTGTCAATGCCTTCCCCTAGGAAGAACAAGCTTTTGCTGTGTTTTATTTTTTATTGCTATTTTTGCTGTGTGGAGGACAAATTCCTATCAGGCAACTTCCAATTCCAATTTTAGATAATGAGGCATCTAGCTTTTATAGAGATCTTGCTTGCTCTACAAGCTCGATATTTTTCCTTGGCATTTACCTTAAAATGTACCAATAGGAAGAACAAGCTTTAATAATAACAGGTTTCTTCCAAATGGCTCTCTCTATTCCTTTGTCAAGCTCTTCATTAATAGGTTCACAGTTGTAACCACCATTGGTGACTTAAGGTCCGTTTTTGTGTGGCAACAACTTTTATGAAGATAGTTGTAAAATTGTTGTGGAGAAAAATAACTTTTGTGAAAAATGTTATGGGTAATTTAATTTTTAATTTATAAAGTCTGACATTAACTTTCTCATAATTATCACACTTTAATAATTCTAATTATATAAAGTAACTTTCCACCGCATAATTTTTTAAAATGTAGTAAGAATGAGTAGCCAAAAAGAAGCCTGTAAACAAAATAGTGAAAAAGTTGCCACAAACAAATCCTTAGTGGTTGCATGCTGTCAAAAGCCTAAGTCACTATTTGATTACATCATATGGTGGAGCAGAATTTAAGCATGAAGTGTGAGTCACAATTATGGAGATCCTATTGAGGAATATTGATGGTCTCATCACTCTTATTTGAAGTTGATGTTTGCATGTAAACTATTAAGATGTTTCAAAAGCTACTGAATTAGGTGTCCAGGATTGAATTCTTGCCAGTGCTGCCCCAAGGCAAAGAAGCCTTTCACATAGATTCGAGAAGTGTTCTTCTTATTTGAAGTTGATGGTTGCATGTGTGAACTATTTCTGCCTTATTGTGCTTAGGTTGCAGTAATTGCTATTAAAGAAATGTCCTCTAGTTAGATAGTTCAATAACTTAAACCACACATAAGAACTCGTATTTATGGAATTGATGTTACTGTTGGTTATCTTTAGCATTTATCCTTCCTCCATATTTTGTTTTGATATGTTCTTTTGATGCTAATTTCAGATGCCATATCTGGAAGAGTGGGCGCTCACGGACGGACAATATTCTGATTCACTTTCTGGGACAATAAAGGCATTGAAGGATGCTTCAATTAGACTCCCAGTAATTGGTGATGTGAGGGTAGGATGGCTCACACTCTCCTTGTTTTTGTGGTTCATCCAATATGAAGATAGCAATCTGATGGTAATATTTTGATCAGGTAGATGTCAGGGAGCTCAAGGAATCTATTCACTCTGCAACTAGCATGATAGAGTCATTCTCTTTCTCCATTGAAAGATTATCACCCAAGGTGAGACTTTCATTGCAGCAAGCTTCTATTTCTATCTGATATTGGATCATAATTTAGATCAAAAAATTTATTAAACGGATTATTTAACTCTTAATCCTGTCTATTTGGTATTGGATATATTTTTATTTTGCTGATTGTACTTTGACTTTTTGTAAAGAAGTGTTGGCTTTCAATATTGAAAGTGGCAAGGATTAGAGAGTTTCTATACATCAAATAATAATTTTTTTCTAGTGAACTCATTGAGGATGAAGATCTTTTCATAACTTTGGCTTTGTTTTCAAATGATTTTCCGAGGAAGCAATAAATAGTGTAAATGACATGATCACTCTTTTCACCAACAATTAGCAAAAATTTCTGCACTAAATCTAAGAAAAGTTAGATTTCGGTTAAGTTAAACACGATGAGGATTAGATATCTGTAGATCTTTAAAAAGTTCTATTTGTTTTGAAAATTTTTTCTCCAGAATTTAAAAATTATATAACTAAATTAATTACCATTCTTTGATCCATATGAATATAGTGTAAGCAGTAATTATGGTGAATAATTGAGGATCTTTAGGAAAGTTTTATTTGTCTTGAAACAATTTATGAAATTAATAATTGAGGACATTTAACAGAAATTTTGCTTGTTTTGAAATTATTCTTAAACTGTTTTGTAAAATAGGCCAATGGAGTTGCAAAAGAAATGTCTGAGTTGGCAAAGGTAGTTAGCAGGGAAAAAGCTCTAATCGAAGAGTGTGGAGGTCTCATATCTGAGGTTCAGAGATTGCAGGTATTTCTTTCTTGTCATATAAACCAAACGACTTTACATACGCAATTGGCTAACTTGATGTCATCCATTTGCTTTTAACAGGTTAAGGAATGCAGCTTGAGAAGCACGTTGATGCAAGCAAAAAGAAGCAGTATAATTTGAAGCCTCGCGGTCATCAAACACTATAATTGTTAGAAGTTTATTCTTTTGTTCTTTCGAAGTAATAAGATGAGAAGGATGAGTTGCATGGTAATATCAAATATCTGATTCATTAGTATATGTATCTTGACAACTTTATCATTGGAGCTAAGGCTTCGTACGGGATAGCTTTCCTACTGCTTTCTAAAACAGTTTTTTAGTAAAAAATTTATCTAAAAAGTTGTTTTAGAAAGCAGCAAAAAAATTGTCCCAAACAAAGGCCAAGTATCTACGTGCCTTTCTGGATCAATTTTTCATAGTGCTTATAATATAATCTTTTTGGCATGCACTTCTAGTATTCAATGCATTAAGAACTTGTGATCTATTGTTCAGAGTGATGGTAAAATAGATGGGGATATTATCAGCATAATTCAAGTTGGATGGTTGAAGTGGAGGAATGCATCGGGCTTGTTGTGTGATAGAAAAGTACCCCTTAAACTTAAGGGAAAATTCTATAAGATGGTAGTGATGTCTGCAATGCTTTATGATGCTGAATGTTGGCCATTAAAAGAGAAGCATAATACTAAGTTAAGTGTGGCAGAGATGAGGATGCTCTGGTGGATGAGTGGCTTTACCCTTAGAGATAGGATACGAAATGAGCATATACGCGAAAAGGTTGGAGTAGCTCCAGTAGAAGATAAGATTAGAGAGAGTTGCCTTAGATGGTTTGGTCACATAAAACGGCGGCCTTCCAATGACCCGGTTAGGAGAGTAGATGTATTAGATTTGACTTATGTTAAGAAATGTAGAGGCAGACCTAAAAAGACTTGGTTAGAAAATATTAGGAATAACCTTTCTTTATTAGATTTAAATGAGAATTTGACCTTTAATAGGACACAATGGAGAAAAAGGATTCATGTAGCTGACCCCACGTAGTGGGATAAAGGCTTGATGTTGTTGTTTGTTGTTGTATAAGAACTTATGAGTTTCCTGATAATGATTTATAACAAAAAAAGCTTATAACTGCCACCACCTTAGTAAAGATTTTATGATAGGCCTTCACAAACTTCAGAGTGATCAATGGTTGATTACCACAAATCAAATCAGATCAAAATTGATCTTAATTGGCCCCATTTTCAAGCCTATTTAGGCAATTTAGGTTTGAATTTCTTTTAAATTTGAATTATTTTGTTAGATGTATTTCTTTTGGATTACAATAGTTTCAAATTTAAATTATGTTGGAATTAGGCAAGTTAGATTGCTCTTATCATGATAATCTTATTCTATAAATAAAGATTCATGATGGGCATGTCAATTATTGTTGATTGAATGAATGATTGAGTTTCAATTCTAAATTATATATGTTGTGAACATGAAATTATATGCTTAGAGTTTTCTTCTTTCAACAATGTCGTTGCCAGGTCTCAAGTCCTGAATGAGAAATGTTGAGGGTTACGTCAAGTAGCCAATAGCCATTATAAAATTTGTCGAAAAAATCAGATCATGAATCATTTAATACATTTTGTAGAGTTTTCTTTTCAGCTTCCATCATTTTTGAATATGAGAATCTTAACTCTAATTCCTATAATCCTTCTCCCAAACTCTATCAAAATGCAGCGCCACTAATCATAGTCCAACTCATGCCTGCATAACCATTAGAATGTGCTCCTGCAAGCGCTCTTGCACTCTGTCAATATTAAAATAAATTGTATATATATGAAATATCTTATAACTTTATATGAAGGACAAGTATGGTGCTCTCCACTCAAATTAGCTTTTTCATGATCTGCAACTTAGGCTCCATTTGGGACGGTTTTTTTAATGCTTCTTAAAGAAGTTTTTTAGTTAAAAATTTGAAATTTTGTACTAAAAAAGCTATTTTAAGAAGCAATAAAAAATCGTCCCAAACGAAACCTTATCCTACCTATGAATTATGACAGATTACCCTCATGTTTATTGCTATGAATTGAGTTTTTTTTTTATTTATTTATTTATAAAGACAACTGATTTGATGTTTATTGCGAAGAAATTTAATTTTTTTTGCACTAATATGTGCCAATATTTGCTTCAAGTAAGACTTTGTTTGGAACGATTTTCTTCTTGCTTTTTAAAGCAACTTTTCGGTATAAATTTTTTTTATTTTTAACTAAAAAATTGTTTTAAGAAACAGTAAGAAAGCTGTCCCAAATGAAACTTAAATCAACTTGTATGTTGTGCTGTTATGATTGCATTAATGTCCCTCGTTCTAGAATAAATCCAAGATAATTTTAATGAACATATTGGATAAGTTAATTGATTTAAAAAAGTACCAATATACTCATTGTTAATATAAGAGTCATATTCTTAGAAATCAAATGTAGATGAAGCACCTCTCGGCTAGTGATGTTGTAATTTCTTTTCATACCCAATCTAAAGGAAGTAATTCTCACATTGCAAACGTATACTGATCTGAAGACTCATTTTTCATTCTTTTCTGCTCTCTTACATGAACCATCACGATAATGGCAGGACCATCACAATCTTTTGCAACCTTATCCCACTTTCTATCGCTTTTAGGGGCTGTTTGAGCGGAATATAGCCAAACAGCCTAAAATGCAAAACCAAATCTCTCGACAAATGAAAGCCGCCGTAGATGGAAAATTTCACCTTTCGTGCTAAATCCCGGATTTCTGAAATCCCTTTTTTGCCGGATTTATGAAATCCATAGGCTAGAGAGGAAGAGTCCGCACGTTTAATCCGTTCTACAGCCAAACACTCACACTAGATTTAATAGAATTTATGATGAATGCTACCAAGCAGTTTTCAAGATTTAGTCCCCTCAGGATTTCCAAAATCCCGATTTAGAAGATTTACAAAATCCTGCTTAAATCAAACCCTGGTGATACCAAATAGTCCTTTAGTGCCAGCATAGAGAACATTTAAATCAACAAAAAGCTTAATACGATACCGTTCCGACCACCGCATGGACATACTGCCACTTACTATCTCAACACCTGTCATTCAAACTGGCAGTGAAGGTTCTTCGCAACAAAACACAAACTACCATAGTTTCGGCTCATCGACCTACTGCACTTGCTGATGTTGTTGTTGTCTTCTCTGTCCCCCGCAACGTCCTCATCATCGACTTGGAAGGCTAATCACAAGGCCAAAGGATATCTTTACTGGAATCACAACCTTTGGATGAAATAGAATGGAAAATGAGTCTGTTAACAAAAAATTGTAGTTTCTGATCAATCATTATGAATTGGGTTAGTCTTTCGGGCGACTAACCTGAATTATCTTAATCTCTTGAACTTCTTTGGTATTTACTCGGATTCAAAAATTATGATCCTTCTTAAAAATTCAAATAATGAGACACCAAAATTTCATCTATGTTTCAAATAAAAATTACATTTCATTGTTATGAATTGAATTTACAATAGTCTTCGTATCAAACCCTGCAAAAATAATATCTCAATATGATATAACATATTTGTTTGGGCATATGCTTGCACACCGAGAGGGAAGAAAATGTGGATATGTTCGAATATAAAATTTTCTCTTTGCCAAGAAGAAGATGCGATATTAATTAACTTTCACAAAATAACTTTAAAATTTTATAAAAAAGTTTAGAATTATTAAATATAGAGATTTAAAATAATAAAACTACTAGAAACGCTTTTGAATTGGAGTTGAAATTTTAAAGATTTAAATTTAGGATTATTAAATTAGTCATATCCTTTTTTTTTAATTAAATGAGTAATTAATAACATTTGGAATTAATTATAAATTGTGAGTGATTAACCAACTTAATATGCACTTGACTTGGTTAATATGCCAAATATGCTTAATCAAGTTAAAAACTATTCCAAAATTTTAGGTTTTTTTTTTTTTTTTTTTTTGTAATCATTTAATATTTTTATAATTACCATTTAAAAGCTGAGAATTATGAAAATATCTAATAAATTATACATTTTCTAAAAATATTCAAGGATGTCTAATATTACTCCTATTGACTTTATGATGCTCAAATTAAGCCTTGATTGATTATGTTAAAGAGTATTTATATATTTTTTTTGTTTTAAAAAAATAGTTTTCTAACAATAAAAAAGTATAAATATCTTAATGTACTGTGATGTCCCAGAATCTAAATTGAAAAAATTATTTTTTTAATCTCTAATAAACAACAACCAGAGCTATTTAATATCTCCAATCAATAATTAACAACAAAATGGTTTCTATAAATTAAAATATTAATGTGCACATATTATCTACCTTCTATATCACATGCTCATTATATCACATGCTTAATATCAGTACAATAAATCAGTAGTGTCAAGTAGTATCAATATCTATATAAGTAACAATAGCAATCCAGTGACATGAGTAGTAGAATAATGTAATAACAGTAAATTCATGTAGTAACAAAAATCTATACAATAATAAGAACAATGCTTCAAGAATATGCATTTCAGTAGTCATACTAAACAAGTAAGAAGTATATGCTATCATAGTATTTTTTCAGTGTTATTATCAGTGTTAGTAAATCGTTGGCTCAGTAAATTGAGTCATCACCCTTTGCCCATCGGCATGGTAATAATCTCCTCATAACTTCCAGTCAATGCATCATATGAATTAGTAGAGGATAACATCAAACCACAGTATTTAGTGGAAAGCCTGTCGGCCCACCATTCTGTACAGGTCCATCAGTCTCCAACAACGTATCAACCAATCTTCACTTGTTTGTTTCACACATGCATATTATTATCACAATACTATAATAGTAATAGTGACCAGCTATTACTCAAGCACATATTCACATCAGTTTTCAATGCATTGTAGCAAATAAAACATAATTGAGTTTAATTAAGAATATGTCAAAATGTCATAATAGTAGACAACAAATAATCCTATTAGAAAAAAATACATATTTTTAGAAAATTAATAAAATATCATGAATTGTATAAAATAATATTTTAAGACTTTTATTGTACTACACTACTATTTAATTTTAGATATCAAAATGAATTTATGAGTAGACAAAAGTCACTATATTTTCAAAATCACCCAGTAAAAAATATCAAATAAATATTCAAAATGCTCATAATCATGATCTCTATAACATACAAAAAGTTATACTGTGAAAGTTTTACGAATACAAAATTATTCACATTTTTCAATAACGAAAAGCACAAATTTAAACAGAAAATATCAAAAATATAAAATTTTTGAAATAAAAAATAAGGTAAAGGTTTCTTACAACGAGATGAGCAATTTTTTCAATAGGCTCGATGGACAAAAATCTCACTGTGGCCTCCAAATCCAAGCTTCTAAATTCTCTCTCCTCTCGTTCAAATTCT